ATTGGACATCATTTTGGCGGAAAACAAGCCAATGCAAGGTTATGGTGGAACCTCAAAAGTCTGGCTTGAGCTCATGGAGGGAGAAGAGGTGAGACTGGCTCAAGTATATTCGCAGTTGGCTTACGGCTAGCTTCGTTGAAAGACGAAGAGATGAAGAAAGTTGGAAGTCGCGAGTTGAATGGAATGGAGCTGGTGGAGCTAGCAATTGAGAGCCAAGGCCCCTCGGCCAGATCCGTTGAGCTTTTAAGATTAAACTCCGGCGCTATGAGATGGACCCGAAGACCCTCATAAATCCCTGCACAGCTGAAGTAGGTAGGTTAGTACCTTAGTAAATTGGGATCACGACATGATAATGAGGTTGATAGCGGATTTCCACTTGGTTATGATATCGTTGTGTCACTCATTATTTGCTCATCGCAGAATCTCTCGCAATGTGGGCATCTTTTACGGAGATGAGCTACCTGTAAGCGCAGGAAGCTCAGCCAGTGCACTGTGCACTGGTTAATGATTCTTGGCGAACTCCGAGGCCTGCAGCTAATCAGAGCTACGAGGACCCATGCTGTGGAGACTTTCCGGCTTAATCCACCAATCTTGGAGGGTGGTTGAGAATTGAGTTTATGCTGCGTGTTCAAGTAAAAGCTTTTGCTGCGGAAGCTTCAACTGCTATCCTCATCTCGCAGTATTTATACAATTCGTCTATGTAGAACATCGCTAAAGTTGCTAGAATCAATGTCATAACAGACCTCAGAATACTTTTTCCCTTTTTCACGCTCAGCGAGTTTTGATGACTCCAGCCGCCACCAGTTTCTGCACCTTTTTGGCGATGTCTGGGTTCTTCATGTGATCCTGAAGCGCAGCAGGGTCTCCCTTTGCTTGCTGAAGAATACTCTGCATGATAGGGTCTTGTAGTATGCCCATGATCTCCGGATCCTTCTGAATTCTCTCCATGGTCTGCTCCTCCGTCTCCCCAGCACGTCCCGCGAACTGAGCCTGAATTGCTCGTTGCTGTTGTTGTTCGATCTCCCGACGGTTGCTACCATCATCCTGTTCCATTGCTTCTGTGCACACATCCGTACACTTGCTGTACTCCTTCATGGCGAAGTAAGCTTGCGCTTTCCTCAGATATGCTCTGATAAATTTACGATCTTTCTGGATTGCTATGTCGCAATCGCCAACGGCGCTAGGGAATGTCATCAGTTTGATCAAGGCCGCCGCGCGGTTGGAATAGCCTCGAGGATCGTCAGGGGCTCGCTTGGTCATTTCTGTGTACGCTTCGACTGCTCCAGGCCAGTCAGCTTCTTTGAACTTTTGGCCACCAAGCTCTCTCGCCTTCTCAGCTTCTTCGGGGTTAATGTAGGCGTCCTTCTCTGCTTTGATCTGAGCCTTCTCAGCGGCGCGAAGCTTGTTAAGGATGTCAGGTGTACGATGCTCTGTCAGGCACTTCTGGTAGTTGGTGATAGCTTGTGGAAGGTCGCCCATCTTCTCGTATGAAGTGCCGATACGGCCGAATGCCTTGGCGATGATCTTGAAGTCTGTGAGGACTTCGCGACCTTCTTCAATAGCTTGCTTGCAGGTCGCAATAGCGTTTTCGTAATCTCCTTTCTCAAATTGTGCCGCACTCTTGTTGGTGAGATACGTGATATCCTTGTGCAACCCCCAAGCCTTGTCATAGTGCTCGATGGCGGCGTCGAACTGTCGTTTCTTGTAGTTCTCTGTACCCAGCTTCTTTTCACCCTCAGCGTCTTCCTTCGCCTTCCTTGCCGCAACAGCTTCTTCGTCTTCAGGCTCAGGCTCCGGCTCCGGTTCCGGTGCCTTCGCTGGCTTGGCAGATGAAGGGCGTGCATCTGGCATAGCGACGTCCTCTTCCGCTTCTTTGGAGCCGCCAAAGTCTGGAGTCCCCTCGCCTGGTGCACCTCCCATGGACATGTCGATCCCTAATAGTACACTCATGACCTGAAGGAATCGCGGGTCCTGCATCGCACCGCCAATGTCATTTGGATTTTGCTTTAAGTGCTGAAGCTTCTGCATGAATTGAGGATCTGCCAGGAACGAGCGAGTTTTGGCGTTGTTTGCGAGTTTTGCAAACATCTGGGGGTCGTTGAAGATGTTGCCCAGGCCACCGCCCATACCACCTCCATCGTCCGCATTTGCTTCGGCATCGATGGCTCGCTTGACGGCAGCGAGACCTGATTTGGCTTGTGCGTTGTTAGCGTCAAGCTTCAATGCCTCCTCGAAAGCATCGTTGGCTCCAACTTAGAGACGACAGTCAGCAGACTCTCGATTTGTACCCGGAGGACTCAGACACACCTAGATCGCCTGTACCGTGCAGCGCAGAGCCTTTGCGGGTCCACCCTTTGGCCCAGTCAGGCTTTATTTCCGTGGTCTTGTTTGCATCTTCCAAAGCTTGGTCAAATTCCTTTTTCGAAGCGTAGGCACCCGATCTATTGGAGTAGAGAACATGGTTCTGTGGTTCGATTTCGATGGCCTGGGTGAACTTCTCACTAGATCAAGTCAGTAAGCAGCAAAGTAAACGCGAAAAGCTGGTTACATACATTGCCTCTTCAAACTTCTTCTCAGTAAACGCTTTATTGCCTTCGGCTTTGAGGGCGTCCGCCATTGTAACGATTTAATGTATACAATTACTTTGTTTCCGGTGATGACAAACACCGAGAAAATTTTGATGTTTTGTAGAGAACAGTGGGCGTGTGCGATCGGATTTCTACAGAAATCGGTAGAACTGATGGAAGAAGGTCTGCTCAGCCCTAGCCGAAAGCTCTGAGCGGATCCATTCCGCACGCGCCTGAAATCGCGGAGCCCACACTTACACAAATTTCTTGAAGATTCACTCCAATTCTCAAATCACCTCTCGATTGAAGCTCGGTCTTGCTTACTTTCAAATATGACCTCCTCGACGGAGGGGGTGCCTCCCAAAGATCAAGATGTCACAATGACGGAACCAAGTGGTGTGTCAAGCCCCAAGGAGCTCAGGAACGCATTGTACGCCCGGTGTGCAAGCTTTGAAGAGGGCCATGTGTTCAATCAGGATGAGCTCTTCGCATTCGAAATTATACCTGACAACAGCGTCGAGAAATTGCTGGCGTACACGAAACAGCTTGCGAAGGATGGGTTGTTCAAGCTCATGACTAAGGATGGCAAAGCTTGCTGGAAGGTGGTTAAGAGAGCGGATGCCATTAAGTAAGATATATTGTCAATCTATGTTTAAAAATAGTAGCTAACGCGCAACTGCAAATGTTAGATATCGTTCCCTCTCTCAAGAAGAAGCCCTCGTGTACTCGTACATCGAGGGTGCGGCCCGTGAAGGAATATGGAGTAAACTCCTACGTAATAAGACTAACTTACACATGACTACCATGAATCGCGCCATCAAGTCTCTCGAAAACAAAAACATGATCAAGGCAGTCAAGATTGTCAAATATCCCAACAGAAAGACATATATGCTGGCCAAGCTCCAACCCTCCGAAAATGTGACTGGTGGACCGTTCTACACCGATGGCGTACTGGACGAGGAATTCGTTCATCAGATGTCTTTATGGACGGAAAAGTACATCATCGGGAGGAGTTGGTGGCATCCACCACTACCAGAACACAAGAAGAAGTCAAGCTCGAAAATGACTCAGGAACAAGCGGAGGAGCTTAGGGCAGGAGAGCTTCGGCAACGAGGGCATGGTAGAGATAGAAGCAAGACGATGTTACCAATGCATCCAGGCTACCGAGGCTTCCCCAATCTGTCAGAAGTTACTAAAGCTATCAATGGGTCTGGATTGTCGGGCGTGACTATGAAGGAATCCGAGATGGGACAATTGCTCGACATCCTCTGCTGGGATGGGCGGCTGGAAAAAATAAGACACGGCAAAGCGTACAGAGCTATAAAACAAGTCGATGGCGAAGACGGAGTGGAGCTTGGAAATGCACTTACAGAGTCTCCGTGTGGACGATGTCCCGTCTTTGACTTCTGTGAAGAGGGAGGGCCGGTGAACGCGAGGAGTTGCGAGTATTTCCAAGAATGGCTTCAGTTCTAAAAGTCCTCTCATTTGACCTAAAAAATTTGCTTCTGCATAGCGTGGGCGTGGCTTTGAATCGAAGATACCCAGGAGCGCGGCATTGCATTATAAATACGTATAATGGTTGTCCGGAAACTGGTGAGGATCTTGTATTGCTGGCATGGTCCTTGCAGTGCTCCGAGTGCCTGGAGTAGGTAGACGGGAACATGATCAAACGATAATTGCATCATAATGAACCCTGAATATCTCTCCGCGCGTAGATAATGCTCATAAGGACACGGCCTGTGTGTTGTTGCTATTGCATGTGGTGAATAGGGCAGCTCCACATCTTCGGCAACCGGCAAGTGTTTCAACGATGGGAGATCCCCCACGCATAAATGTACCGTATCAACATCCTTCATTTGAACATTTTCTGTATATTCCACCTTAGATAACACGAGTCATCGCCCAGCTTCGTGAGGATAGTAAGACTTTGGCATGCAATGCAGGTACGAAGGAAGCCCAAGATGGCACTCAAGGCTTGCATCGCAAATTGCCCATCGTTTCAGACGCAACATATGGTCGAGACCCTGTCAGGCTTGTGGTACCTGATCATAGGTGCGCAAAAGAGGCCAAACCTGCTATTGTGTTTCACTCCCCCTGCCGGCGCGTATAAACTCGCTGCGGGAGATGCGACCTCCTTCCTCCATGCTTCATCTACAAGAGCTAAGTAACGGCCAAAGGATTTCTTCTGTAAATTTCCGGTTTCCTACCCCCATGTCCGCTCCATAGGCATGCATGAACGTTCAATGTGTTCTTGTCCGCATCTTTGAAACGATTTTTGCGAGATGGGTCCACTCTGCTGTAAGCCGTCTGGTGGGATTGCGTGGTCATTTCGTTGCAACTATATGTATCTCAGCTCTTACCCCTCGATTTTCTGCCATTCATTTTTGTCAAGAATTTTGACGTAATAGTACTGTCTTTTATCTCATCTTGAAGATGATGCTGTCACTCGTTTATGCGTCTTTACTCCTTGCTGCTGGCAGCAATGCATCTCCATGTAAACTGCACTCTGGAAACTGGACCTCGTCTTCAACAACAGTAGCAAAAGCTGCTCTCCATCGTGATGGTCATGGCAGTGCAGCCGTCAATCAGAACCAGAAGCTTGGCACTCAAGCCAACGCCGGGCTGAACCTGCCTTTGCCCTATTCTCAGGAATCGCCTGCGCCGTCTAGCACCAGCGCAAACAATGCTGGTCCGAGTGTTGCTGGCAGCTCCGACACATCTGGCACGTCTGACACCTCTGCCTCCCTAACTCCCGCGAGTGGAAGCTGTCCGCAGGGTTTCCTCAACACCGTGTTCAACACCAATGCCGGCCAAAGTTCTGGCTTCCCCACCGCTACTTGGAATACTCTCACAGAATACGGAATAAACAACTGGAGTGCGTTACGCTTGCAGCTCCAAAAGACCTTCCTGCTTACTGACAAACCTTTCCATCTAGTCGGCTTTTCCCTCGATACTCTCGACAAGCAAGCCGATTACGACCTCTCCGCCACTCAAGCATCCCAGCTCAGCGGTGCCTTCAATAAAGCTCAGATACCCATTGTCATGGACCACACCTACATACAAGACGCTGTCGGAATGCTAGCAAACAACCCGCCACTATATCTCGAACTCTACAACGAGCCCGACTTCTCTTTCGAAGGCCTGACACTCACCGAAGAGCCTGCTCCCTCTGCTTCAGACCTAAAAACCCTCCTCGACACACCACACCCAAACACGAAATTCATCTCGCCAGCCCTTATGGATGCCAATGGTCCCTGGCTCGGCGAATTCTTTCAGGCCTGCAATGGCTGCATCGATGACTTCCACGCTATCGCCCTGCACGTATATAATCCCGATCCCCAAGGCGTCCTGGACCAGATTACACAATTATACGGTACGTGGAACAAGACCATCTGGATCACGGAACTTTCGCCTGCTACCGCCGGCTGCGACTTAAATACGGCTACAATGGCCACCTACATCAGTACATTGATTCCCGAAATCCTGAAGCTCGGTTACGTCGAGAAGATCTTCTGGAATAGTGGGGAAAGTGACAGCACGACTATCAACCAAGCCCCTGCGGCGTGCAGCCCGAGTTTGACCAATTCAGATGGGTCGTTCACGCCGGCGTTGCAGGCTCTGGGGGCTGCGTGTGGAATCAATCCTGGCACCGCGACGTCGTAAGAGGGAAGGGAGGCCTTTATTGAGGCATTAGTCGCTGTGGCGGATTGGACTTGGTGTTTTAATAACTATCTTTCTTTCGTCAGCGCGCTATATTGATCTAGATCTATAGCAAGCTGCATCCAATACAGAGTTTCATATCGACAGACACATTCTTTTTCATCGGCGCAGCCTGCCCGGCTTTAATATCTCCCACTTACCTCCCCCAAAATCGTTCTCCTCCTATCCAATCCCTCACTCATCTCGCTCCTCCTGTCTCCTCGGTAGCTCGCTGTATCCCTCCTGCGCGCATCATACCCCTCACGATCCCGAACACCTCTCCCATCCCCCCCGTTCCCCTCGTAACCATCCATCCTCCGACTCCCCCTCCTACTAACATCCCCCCCGTTCCTCTTCCCCCTCTTCCTCTCCCTCTTCTCCCACAACCTCTCCTCCTCCTCCCGCCTCAACTCCTCCACCCGTTCCCTACTCGCCCCCCCTCTCCACACCTTCTCGTCGAAGATCCCCGCCTTCTGGCCCCCCGGATATTTCCCCTTCCGGACTTTGCCCTTGCGGTGGTAGTATGTGCACGAGATGTAGAATCCGTGGACGTGGGATGGGATTACGCCCGCGATGAACAGGAGGCAGTTGATGAGCGTGTCGGTGTAAGGGCCGGTGAGGAGGAGGACGGAGAGGGGGGGGAAAAAGAGATTGATGAGGGTGAGGCAGAGGCGGGTGAGCATGTTGGGCGATGCGCGGGTCGGGATTGGGCTTTACACGGTTATTGGGCAATGGGACATCTTGGAGGGAGTCAGTGGGAAATTACGGTGAGAGTAGACATGATGGAGGCTTTATGGCGGTCATTGAAGGCCCTGAGGCCGCGCCTGCCAGGTTTGGGGGGGACGCTTGCAGCCAGGAAAATGTTTATGCCAAGACCGGAATGCTTGGCAGAATTGGGTCGAAACCAAAACGGGCCTCGGCAGTCTTGTGCCATGCTTTTACTTCTATGTTGTCTACACCATTTTCTTGAGGCCTGAACGACACATGTGAGAAATGAGGACTATAGATAGAAGCAAGATGGCGTTCTGATCCTTCAAGGCCAAAGGCTTTGGCAGCAGCACAACGAGCCCATCAACCAGGACAAAAGCGACGAGAGAGACACGGAGCGATGAGGTGTCCATATCTGGAAAGAGAAATCCAGCAGCGTGACAACAGGCTGCAGCTGCAAGGACAGGTACCCCACAGGCGTTTACTGTCTCTGTAGCAGCATCTTGCGAGTGCAGCTCAACACCTTCATTCAAACCCATATTACCAGAGAGAAACCGCCGAAAACAGCGCACGCTTCGAGAGAGCTCATCAGAGACCCAGGGAGACATGACAGGTGGTCTCAGCTATTCAGTCCTGTCGGCCTCGCCAGTGTAAGCTCTCCTGGCCGAAAACAAGAGCAGCATTGAGGACTTGGCCACGGGTAACGATGAATTATCATTGAGATCACCTAGAGGATATCATCAGCAGACTCCTCTTGATCTCATCGCTGCAAGACGTACTGTCTTCAGCTCGATGTCGACCAATATGGATTTATGAGGCAGGCAATAAAGCAGAGAGCAACGAGACGAGTCATTGCGCTGGCTGTGGCAAAGGCTCTGATCAGTCCACGAATCCAACGCGCTCCGCCCTGGGCATTTCCCAGCCTTCGCCAATACATACCTCACCTTTACTTCACGTGTTCATTGACGATGACTGCGAGATAATCCTTCAGCGCGCAGCCGTCTTGGCGAAGGAGCTCGAAATTCGCCGTTGCAATACGAAGGAGGTCTCGGCATTCGATAGCCTCGGCAGTCTCATTTTATGATCCTTGTCAGCGTCTCTGTTACATGCTGCTTGGCCTAGAGGTCGCTTGACGATTGAGGTGGGAGCAGTAATTTTGGAAGGCCACCGCGGAGATTCCAAGGCTGTTCATGACTCGAAATCTGGTCATGCAAGAAGGCCACTGTGTGCGGTTGGCGCTAGCTTTGTAAGAATCCGTCAGGACCTACTTCGGCCGGCTCACCTATTCCGCAACATCGTGCTGATCGGCACCTGGTCTGAAGCGCGGTCATAGAGAGATGATCGACAGAACGCTCTCGCGTCGACGAGCTCTTTTTGTTCTACATCTAATACGTCGGGATGAAGCCGGTCCATCTTTCAGCCCACTGATAAACATCTGAAGTATCATTCTCGTCTCTCGTTAGTGTGTTTCCCATGGATATGCCCGTTAGTATAGGCGTTGATGCGGGTACTCCACGCAGTCGAGTATCATTTAGCTGGTAGCCCGGAGGAGATCTCAGGGTCCACGATGGGATAGGGTGTTGATGCATCGGCCGCTTGGGGGATGTCAGCGTCTGCGGCCCAAGAAGCATGTTGAAAGATGGGACGGTCCCAGAGGCACGAAGCTTGCGTCCTCCCGTGTCGAAACCTGGTAATCCAAAGCCACCAATGTCACACACCTCGCGGGGCTAGAGATCTCCACTCCTCCAGGCACCCCAACGATTCAGTCATGGCTTCAAGCAAAGAACAATCGCCCCAATCATCTCAACGGCGAAAGCATTTCAATTCCGTGGACTTGACTCCACTCTCAGATGCCGGGCGTTTGTAGGCTCTCTTTCGCCTCGGCACGCTCCGAGATGTTTAGGTTATCCTCCTGACCCTTGACCATTGGCGCAAGGGCTGTTAGTGTGGGTGGGTACGGTCATCAGGATCAGAAATTGCATAGTCATCCAACACTAATCCTTCTTCCATACTCCGTACATCCGACACCGCTTACGCTCATGATCTAGATCCGGAAAGCCAAAATTGGCAAGCCATGGCGCTTTGCAGTCACTATGGTGTATTATGCTGTCCGCCGGACTGACTGAACTACGCAGCTCCTCGTGAGGAGAGAATGATGGTTGCGGAAGCGATTTCCAAAGATGGTTGCCAATTTTACTTATTCCAATTCTTAGCCTGGGAAGGAGCGTTACTGCTTGCATTGCAGCCGCAGAGCAGCACAGATGGAAACAAATAAGCTCCCCTTGGGAACCCGGTTACACACAGACGCACGGAGACCCAGAGATCTGAGCTGCAGATCTGCGTTCTCGTGGTCGGTTTCCCAGATCTTTGATATTCGCAGACCTGGCTGTGCAGCGGGAGGCGACATTGAAGCGAACATTGCTCGCCTCCCCGTCCAGAAAAGAAAAAGCATTTCTGCACTCATGCCAAATGGTGACTTTGACTCTTTGAGTATTAGCCGTCGCGCGGTCATGAAGCCCCTAGAAGATACCTTAGTCGACGAGCGCGCTACAGCTATTGGGTGCGTTGGAGGCGGCACATTTGTTGGTACGCAACTAACAATGCCGAGCAGAGAGCATATTAAAACCTTAGTCTCAGGAAGTGTCACCCGGACGAGAATACGAGCGATATGTTTTGGGTCAGTTTGATCTCATGAGAAAAGAACGGTGCAAGAGATAATGATATCGATTACTTTATGCAATTGCTTTTTTGGAGTCAAATCTCGTGCCATAGTATGATAATTAGCACGGATGGGGGGGGGGGTAAGGGGTTTTGACAGGGCTATTCTTGGGGGATGAAGACGTCAGTGGTTTAGAATGGACCGTGGCCGAGACTCGGACCGAGAAAAGGTGAACCGTGTGTGGCGTGGCGCGTAAGTTTACTTATGGCTAGCTGAAGCTCAGTCTTCTGACCCATCTCCCAACTTCGCAACCCGCAATAATTGAGGAGAGCCTTTGGGGCCGCGAAAGGAAAAGACAGAAGAAAAAAAAAGAAGAAAAAAAAAAGAAGAAGAAAAAAGTGTGTGGAATAGAAGACGATAGTGTGACTGGTGAGAAGACGAAGATTGAAATTTTGTATGCAAGAGGAGTGGAAGCGCCCAAGGTTTAAAATAATTGATCATTGATCAATGATCGATGATGATGATAAAAGATAATAATACCTGTAATGGAGCTATCATCGAGGTTGACAAATACTTTTGCGTCTAGGCACTCACCTGCAGGCGCCCGAGGTTTCTCGCTTATTTTCTCACTTGGAACATGGACTTTCTATTGGCTGTCTATACTTCCCCTGCTTCAAAAGTGCGACGTTGTCAGGAGAAAGAAAATCTTGTTGAATCCATCCCAGACTTGGCATCGCGTGTTGGAGAACCGCTCCGTTGGAAGTTGGAAGAGGAAGAGGATGGAAGATCAATGTACGATTCGAATTGCCCGCTGATCTCAGTAGCAGATAGTAGATCTATCTGCTGGGAAGATGGGAAGATCGGGGGGTGGATGACCTGTGTGATGAGTAAGACAGGCACGAGAAGATTGACTGGAGCGTGACCCAGCCCGGAGACTGGCTCCGGCGGGCCATAACGGGATCTGCACGGCCACTAGCGGGAAAGGGTTTCGTTACCAAACTTCCAATCAAGTTTGGCTTCCATGGATCCGATCTCTCCATCCCTTGATCCATGTGCCCCAATCTTGAAAATAGAGGACCCTAGAGGGCCCTAGAGGACCCTAGAAGACCCTAGAGTCACATTCTTCGGAGATGGGCCCATACGAAAAGGAAAAAGGAAAAAGGAAAAGAGAAAAAGAGAAAAAGAAACCACCAAAGGGCTGACGCTGACCACTGCCGATATGGATGGCTTTGTTTGCCATGTTGGAAAGAGGACGGGGCGCAACAGTGTCCCGCGGCCTTTACAAATCCAATGAAAAAAAAGGGGGTCCAATGGAAATGAAAAAGTCGATGACGAACCATTCCATCCAATCTCTGCCCTCACTCCCAACAAAGCCCGCTGTCACAATGCAAATGGCTGAACAAGCGCTCTGCCCAGTGCTCACAACTCCAAGCTAACCATCTCCCCCCCTCCCCCCACCCCCCTTCCCTCTTCATCGTCTTGCTCAATCTCAACGCTCAACGGCTCGACTCCGTACCAGTCGTGACCCTGATATCGACATGGGTCATCATTAGCCATCCGAGCCAATGCAAGCCACCAAGATCTCTGACCAGGCATT